GGCTCTTGCAAGCTTGAAACCGAGATACGTTGCTCAACCGTGGATTGCCCTCGTGCCCTAGGTGGACGTCCCTTCTCAACACTATCGGCACCCATTGCTGACTCGGACATCTAAATCCAGCAAAATAAGCACGCCAGCTAAACGAATTATGGAAAAATGGAAACGCACTTGTGATTTCGTACGGACAAAAGGTGGTTGTGAGTGTCCACGACCTGGAGGACTTCGAGCCGAATTAGATCCAGATTCAACGCCCATCTCCTTCTCCATCTTCCGTCGTTTGTAGTCGTCCAAGATTTTCTGGCTATAATCCAGGGATAAAAGCCGATGCTACGTAACAATATGGATACTCACCGCTGCAGCTCTTTTTCCAATTTTCGCTGCTCTGCCATCTCACGTTTAGCTATTTCAGCAAGTCTCTTCTCGGCGTTTCTCTGCTCTATTTGATCGACCTATCGAAGAAAAATACATTTTGGTGAGTTTAGAAAATTTAATGAACTCGATTATTCTCGAGTTCATTATGATTAGTCACGATAACATACTTTGCTTTCAATTTCCTCCTTGCGCTTCATGGTTTTTGCCAGAAGTGCTGCTCGTTTTGCTTGACGGCGTTGTTCAGCCTGCAAGTTAATGGGAAGTATTCATATACCCCATTTTCATTTACGATATGAAGATTTGCATTGAAAAATTCCTATTGAAGAACATGTATAAGCATAAAACAGAGGATTAGTAAGGAAACGAAAACTTATGCAATCGCAACAGAGCGAATGATGGAGACTTACAATTTTATCGAAATCTTCCGCTGCTTGATCATCAGTAACCACAAATGCCGGTCCCGGTGGTGCAGTTGCCCTACAAATACATATCCTTTCAATCCAGAACAACATTTGTGAAGTGCCTCTTACTTCGCTTCAGTGGACGCGCCGTTAGTATTGTTCGATGGGTCACGAGGCGGTGATGGCTGCGGTGGAGCAACTGTAGTTTCTGAATCTGTTTAGATTCCGAATACCCAATGCTCGAAGAAGTTAAGCGCAAAAACGAAAATGACAAAGTTCACCCTGCACTCGCACTCGTTCCGGCTCTGGTGCAATTGCTTCCCCTTCACGGGAATCTCTTGACCGTCTTGGTCCTGCTCCAACTGGGCAAGGCGATTGCCGCTGCACTTGGTCCTAAAGGCGATTGACGCTTACACAGATTGTTCAAGAATGGGATTACTTACATCTTCGCTTGGAATTGTCGGCACAAGTTCTGGTTGATTGACTAGATCCTGCTCACTTTTTATGAATGTCTGATTCTCCCATGTCCTTCTTTGCGGACGACCCGTATGACCCTGCATCTGATCCTGGTTATTTGTAAGCACCAAAGCCATGCGTATAATGATCAACTTCTACTATTACTTTTTTAAAACTCAC